ACTTGAGGGAGACATAAGTATTCAGTCCATTGCAGTCAGCATCTTAGTTTTCTAGAAATTATATCCCTGGCACATATATTAGACTCTTCTTTCTGTAAGATCTTTGGGTTACCAGGCCAAGATGCATGTAAGGAATCTAAAGGAAGGGAGAATTCGTCCTGAAGACATCCACACACTACACTTTAAAAGGAAAAGGAAAGCTGTCCTGAGCAAGTCGAAGGACCAGCTGCTGTCTCCACCTGGTGGGCCTCATGGTCTCTCTCCTGTGCAATTTTCTCTACACATCCTTCCTTTTGCCTTTCCTCATCACTGATGTTTTCTGCTTTCTCTTAAGTTCCACACTATCTTCAACTTTGGCTTATGAATGGTTGTCATGGCTTCTTAAATCAATGATGACATCTCAACAGTAAGTCCCATAATAAACTGGCAAATTCATTGTGGTTTTCAATTCCAATGCCCTGAAAGGATCCGAATGACCAGATCATCTGTTCAATGCAGGCACAGGTATCTCATTTCATGGATGACATCTCTGATATATGTTCCAATCATCACCTCTGAAGTGAGTTCCAGCATCTTGTCTTAATGCTTTTCAAGTGATTCTGATACAAAAGCAGATTGACAGCAACCAAGGGAGCCCAACCAGGTAATGAGTGTCCTTGAGCCAGGTTCCCTTTGCTGGGCTAATCCTGTGGCTGCAGAGGATTATATGGTGCCCAACATAACCCAGGCTAGAGTGGTATATGAGTTTCCTGTTGCTTCTGTATCAAATTAACACAAATATATCATTATACTTAAAACAGCACAAATTATCTTCAAGTTCTGGAGGTCTAAAGCCTGAAATGGACTTCACCACATAAAAATCAAGATACTAGCAGAGCTGCGTTCAGGACTGGGTGGTGGGGGGGTCCATTTCCTTGCCTTCTCCAGCCTCCATACGTCTGCATTCCTCAGCTACCGTCCCCTTCTTCCATCTTTAAAGCCGGCAATAGTTGGTTGTTCCTTTGTCATAGAACACAGTCTGACACCAATTCTTCTACCTCTCTCTTTCACATTTAAAGGGCCCCCATGATTATACTGGGCCCAACCAGATAATCTGGGGTAATCTCTTAAAATCAAATGCTTGGCATACTTCCCCCTTGGTGGTATCATAACATATCCACAGGTTCCAAGGATAAGAGCATGGACATGTCTGGAGAAGCTATTATTCCGCCTACAAGGGCCATGTGCAACACAACATACTGGGCAGGCAGATTCACTTATAAGAGATTAGGTCAAGCAACCATCATAAACACAAATAGTACAGCTTTATGTGAAACATGACAGTGTGAGATGCAGATTGATGATTAAAATTTTAACAGTTTATGTTGGTTTTCATCACTTGTACTTTGTGGCAAAAGATAGTCCAGTCACAAAAACAAGAGACTAAAGCATTCTTTCAAAAGTATAAAAAACAAACATTTTTACCCTTTAATAATTTATAAGGAATCTTCCTGTAATTAAATGAATTTATATATTTTATTAATAACCATTACCAAGAATCAGTTGTAATTAGCTTAGATTCCAGAAGAAATGTTTTATAATACATTTTAAGTAATTTCAAGTTACTTTCTCATTAGCCAATGATTACAGGTCTAGTACAATAATTAATAATAATGCAGCAAAATTGTTTTAAAGAAATACTCATCTGCAGTGTTTCTTCTTCAAAATACATGAACCTACTTGAGTTTCTTTAAAAAAAAAAAAATCTTCCTGTCCCCGAGGGTACTGCTATGTGCAATTTCATGGAGGATTTTCTGGTTATTAAGAGTTTCTGAAAAATTTAACTGTGAAAACCTGTCACCATAAATGTCACCTAAACTAAACAGAAAAGGAGTGGGAAGAAGTGAGAAAACAAGATCATGATATACTGGTAAATGTTAAAAGTTAGGCAAAAATAGTGCAACTTCAAAAAAGCTTGGAAGGAAAAAGCATTTGCATGTGCACTTGAGTTCAAAAAAATACACTATTCCTTGGGTATTGAATACTAACATTCAAAATTAGTTGTTTTCTTTTTTTTCTTTTTTTTTTGGTACCAGGGATTGAACTTGGGAACTTGTGCTTGCGAGGCAGGCAACAGAACCACTGAGCTAAATCCCTGGCCCAACATTCAAAATTAGAATAACAAAGTCTTTTTTATGCTTGTATCTGCCTTCAGTATACCCATACAAATAGATGGTATATGTAATAATTAGTTTATTTGTTGTATTGATTAGCTTTCTTGCTGTTGGGACAGAATGCCTGACATACACAACTTAAAGGAGGAAGCGGTATGTCTGTATGTTTCAGAGGCTTCATTCAGTTCATGGCTGGCTTGTTCTAAGGCAGGAAAATCATGGCGGAAGGGCATGGTGGGAAAAGGTACTCAGTTCATGGCAGCCAAGAAGGAGTACACAGGGGAAGTGTGCGAGAGACACACAGCCTCCAAAGGTAAGCCCCCAGTGACTCATCTCCTTCAAGGTGCACATTCAGCTATGAGAATCAGTGGGTTAATCCAGTGATGAGTATAACCCTTATGATCCAATCATCTGTTCAGGAATCTCTTAAACTAGTCAAGGTGACAATTAAGATTAACTGGCACAAGTCCAACCATTGTCAACTTGACAGTCACATCTTAAACCAAACTTAATCTCCAAATAAACACATTAACAAGGTCATAATTCTACCTACTATACAACAAAAAGCACAACAATTCCTTCCACAAAGTCTCAACAGTTCTAGCATTGCTCAAAAGCCCACATCCAAAGTCTAAAACCAAACTACTTAATGCTATGATACAACAGCACACAGAAAACATTCCCATTCCAACAGGGAGGAATAAGAAGATAGAAAAAAATTAGACCAAAGTAAGCCCAAAACCGACAAGGGCAAACATTAAGTTTTGTAATTCCATCTGTGGCATCTAGGGCACATGGTGGTAAGATGTGAGTTCCAGAGGGCTTGGGCAGCCCCACATCTACAATCTCACTAGCTGTAACTCACATGGCTTCTTTTTTTTTTTTTTTTTTTTTTTGGTACTGGGGATTTAACTCGGGTCCTTGCACTTGCAAGGGAGGTAGTGGAACCACTGAGGTAAATCCCCGGCCCTCACATGGCTTCTTTCTTATACTCCACTTACTACCTACATCCTTCTTTAGCAGACAATCCCACATTCCTCCTATCTCTGACTTCTTAGGGTCTTCACTGTGCCTTTGCCTTCATTCCCAAAGCTTCACAAATCCCCCTTAGGGGCACACTGCCTGGCCTTCCAGGGCTCCTTCTGAAATCTGGATTGAAGCCTTCATGACTTGCATTCTGTATACTTAAGAAACAGCATCATGTGAACCATGCCAAGGTCTGTCACTGGTATGAGCAGTAACCAAGCCCCAGTGGACCGTGGCTACAGTGGCTTCTGAGTGCTTGGACAGTTGAGCACAATGACATGAATACAGTAGAGGACCTAGGAGGTGTCTCTTCTCAAATTTACACCCTTGACCTTGCAATCAGTAGGGTTTTGTTGATTTCTGAGAGATCCACAAGGCATCTTTATCTCTTGTCCTGATGCAAAGTATTTTGTTTCTTTTTAATGGTACTAATCTCTTCAACAACTACACCTTCTTTGGTCCCAACTTTACGCATTTCTTTTGGGGGCTAAAATTTAAGTGTTCCAAATCTTCTTGCTTTGCTCTTTGCTCCTGATTCTCATTATAAATATGGCTAAAAGCAGCCATGCCACAATCTGAACACTGAACTGACTTGAAATTTTCTCTACCAAATCAATTAGTCTGCCACCTTTATAGTCAGCCTCACACAAAGGCTTAGGACACAGAGGTGTAGACAAAAGGTTTTGCTAGAATGTAACACACATGGACTTTATTCAGAATCTTCATTCCCAAGTGAAACCCCAGGAGGCTGGCTTTTAATCAGCCCCAACCAGAAGCACTCCTCAGACTCTGCTCACAGCATTCTAGGCTTTCTCCAGCTTGATTCTCCACACTTCTCCAACCACTCCCACAAACCAGTTAGTTCCAAAGGCTGCTGAACCACATGGTCAGGTGCAGTCATAGCAATGACCCACCTTTGGGACCAATTTTCGGTACTGGTTGGCTTTCCTGTTGTTAGAACAAACAGCATAAAGGTAGAAATGGTTCATTTAGCTCACAGCTTCAGAGGCTTCAGTCCATGACTGGCTGGTACCAAGGCAGGAACATGGAGGCTAAAGGGCATGTTAGAGCAAAGTTGCTCACTTCACAGCAGCCAAGAAGCAGAGCACAAGAAGAAAGCATCAGAGAGATGCACCCTCCAAAGGCATGCCCCTCAGGACCTACTGCCTCCAAACAGCACATTCAACTACGAATATCAGCAGGTAATCCAAGGGTAAGTATAGCAGCCCCATGATCCAATCACCTCTCCAGGAGTCCCTTAAACTAGTCAAATTGACAACCACTCAATTAACTCAAGATTAACCGAAACATTTGTTGACTTTAATACAGAAGCCAGTAACTGGATTTTAACTTTTAGTTGGTTAAAATCAGCAAATCTTACTACTTTTTAGCTTTATTCTGTGACTCATTTGTCAAACAACAAATATTTACTGAGCAACTACTATGTACCAGACATATTATAGATTTACCTAGTTTTCAATCTATTACATCTGTAAGAAAATAATTTGTACTCTTCAAGTTTAACGTAACAATTGACAATTTTTTTTAAATACTACCAATTATCTTCAGTTTGAAAAGTTTTAAAAAATTAATACTACTTTAAATTTACATATGTCTTGTCTAATAATTCCTGATCTGGTCATATCAGCATTCTATCTTCACTAAACATCACAAACCCAGTATGATACATATGTTAGCTACAGCCTGGGAAATATAGAAGGAGAAAAGTTCTTTCCTTTAAGCTGAAATCACATAACTGTTAAAATCCATTTGGTAAGATGAAGATAAAATGTCACTAAACAAAACAAAAAGGTGACTTACTGAGACTGCTTAGCTGGCGTATGATTGCGGAAAGAGTACTATTGGTTACACACTCAAGTTCACTGGTAATTCCTTCGGGTAGAGCTCCCCGGCACAAGTGCCGGGGTTCAATGTTCCTCTTCACTAAAGGCATGGCTCACGATCTGAAAATGAAAAAGGTGTTTTTTAAAACCTCATATTCACATTTTAACAATCTACAGTTTCAGTTTCCTCGAAAATCAACTCTTCCCCACAAATTCTCATCATCCTATTATAGACAGCTAAGTTAGGTAGAAATATTATAGACAATCAGACAGGGCTGGGCCCTTGAAAGAGTCAGCAAAAAGGTGAACTCACATTACAACCATGGCCAGAGATGCATCTGTTGGAGACCAGGCCTCGAGATAAAGACATAATGACCAGGCCTACATACTTCCCCAAAGGACAAGATAAGTGGTAACACCCAGCCTAATGAAGTCTAGATGGACAACCGTCACCTGGACAGGTGACCAAGACCTCTGGACCCATCATTTCCTAGGAAAAGTCTTTGTCCTTTCCATGCACACTTCTTACATGACTTGTTCCCCCACTGGATCACTATTACCTAAGTGTTTATACTTATAACCTTATTGGTTGTTCATAGCTTTAACCCACAATGCACCCACATGGTTTTTGCTTTATAAAACTTCCCCTGAAAAGTGGGGTCCTTGGCTACCCACTTATGGGCCCTGTCATGCCTCTCTGGAGCTGTATCTTTCCCCTTCAATAAATACTCCCTACTATTAACCTCTGTTGTTCCTAGAATTCATTCTTCAATTTTAGAGAACATGAACTCAGTGTATAAGACATCTAACAGGCTCCCTTACATAATATTTGGAGGTCCTAATATCATTTCCTATATCGATGCTATCATTCCTACTTGACAAAACCAGCTAAAATGCAACGAACGTCTCATTTTTCCAACGAATTTCATGGATTTTAGATGTACAATTAGTACAATCTTTTATAGAAAAAAATATGATCAAGTTTTCTAGCTAACCTTTCTAGCTACGCCTTGAAAAGGAATACATTCATTTTTACCTCCTATTTCACTGAAATGATTGCAGAAAGAAAAGGTTAGAAGTCCAAAAGGACAACTATATTTTGATGTTGAATATCCCCTAAAGGCCTATTCATTAAAGCCTTGTCCCTAGGATGTTGCTTTTGGGAGATGGTAGAACCTTTAACGGGTAGAGCCTGGTGAAAGGTCCTGAGGCCATTGGACAGCTACCCTGGAAAAGGATTTGGGGACTCCAGTCCCTCCTCGTGATGAAGTGAGTGGTTTTCTCCACCATGTACTTCTGCTGGTCCTATCTAAGGCTCAGAGCCACAGGGCCAACCAATCACGGGGTAGAATCTACAAACAGGGAGCCAAAATAAACTTTTTTTCTTTGTAAATTGATTATCTCAGGTATTTTGTTATACTGATGAGAAGCAGACTAATGTAAACACTAAGAGCAGAATGTGGAAACAGTAACAAAACTGTATATAAAATATAACCAGGTTATGAGACAGAAAAGGCTACACCCAGACTGCCTGTGGGAAGTAAGCCTACCTGAGCTTCAGAACATACCCACCAGAGTACTCCCTACCAGAGGTTCAGGCATAGGAAAACCAGGTATCTGTGAAACAACAATGGAGCAAAAAAAGCAAACAGGAGGAATGGCTTTTAAAATCCATTTAGCCTTGTCTAAGCTAAGTACACTCCTGAGGTAATATCCCTGAGGTATCACGTCTGCACCATTTCATATTCCCATCAGCCCTGTATGAAGGTTCCACTTTTCTCACATCATCAACAATTATTACTGTTTTTGTTTATTTTGTTACTGTCATCCTGTTGGGCTTGAAGTGCTATCTCTATTTTGATTTGCACTTCTCTAATGACTAATGATATTAACCATATTTGTTTGTTTATTGATCTTAAGCTTTTCATCACTTAAAGATGTTATTATTTTACAGCTGGAGAACAAAAGCAAATTAGGATAAAATCTTCCAGAAAATAAGGAAAATACAAATGATTTATATTTTGTTTGTTAAGAGATGACCATCAACCCAATTCTACAGTTACACTTGTAATATAATGAATGTATCCATGTAATATTCAAAGACAAAATAAAGAACCAACTGTCAAAAAAAACCTATTTAAGAATCCCTTCTCTTTCCTGGGCTGCCTTTCCTCCACCCCACCCAGCATGCTTTACACTTTAGATAAGGGGGATCAAAGAATCTCCATTTGGGTCACTAAACAGAGCCAAGGGGAGGGGAAGGAAATGCACTGAACACAGAAGCATTAAATCAAATACTATACAGACTGGCTTTACTCCTCACCTAAAAAGACTTCAACATTCTTCCTGGGGAATGCTTGAAAAGACCCATAGACACTGACAGTAGGGAAGGGGGAGTAGGGGAGAGGGCTTCTCTCTCTCTACAAAAACTGCCACTCAGGTCACCCTACAGTAACACCTGTCAATTATCCCCCCATGCACACAATATATAAGCAGCTTTCAGTGCCTTGGATTTAAATAAGGAGACAATCAAGCCAGGAAGGATGTCCCCAATATCATAGTATTCCCTTTGCCCTCTCTCCTCAAAAAGTATTATAAATAAAATCAAATCACAACTTTCTGCTTAAGGAGGTATACAGAGTTTCAAACCCACTGCTCAAACAGCAACCTACTCCTGGTACAACACTAGAAAATGTGGCTGGAATATATTACTTGTAGGAACAGAAACACAGAAAGGCCCAATACTTGGATGCCTCCCCTCTTTTGGCAGTGAAACTGCTGTAGATAGCTAAGTTAGCTGGACATACAATAGGCAGTTAAGACAGGACCAGGCCCTCCAGGGACCCAATATGGAAGACAACTGAGGCCCATTTACTGAAGGCCAGGATTTAAAAAAGAGGAACTACTACACTCACATACTTCTCCTAGAGATAAACAGCAGTGAGTGATATTCTAAATAGGCATCAAACATCACCTTGGGTGGGGGACCAAACCCTCCCTAGCCCATTCCTTCCTGGAGATCCGGTTCATTCTATGTACACTTGCTACATGACTTGCTTCCCCATTTGATCCCCATTTAATCAATATTACCTGAGTGACTATACTTGTAATCCTACTGCTTGATTCTAATTTTGTCCCACTTCATGATTTCCCATTGGATCAATATTACCTAAGAAACTATACTTTTATTCTTATAGTGGACTATAGTTTTGTCCCACCCTGAATCCACCTCACCTCATGGCTTTGCTCAAAACACCCTGGAGAAAAGGGATTGGTGGGCAACCCACTTTCTGGGTGTCTCCTCCTGTCCCTCTCAAACAGGAGCTGTCTTTTTCTAAAAAAAAATATATATATATATATTGGTACCAGGAATCACTCAGGGCCTCGAGCTTGCCAGGCAGATGCTGTGCCACTGAGTTACATTCCTGGCCCATATTCCCTACTCTTAGCCTCCATTGTTCCTAGAATTCATTCTTCGATTTTGGAGAACACAAACTTAGCATTTTGGATATCTAGCAGGTTGGAAGTTATAATATTTCCCTTACATTATTTGGAGGCCGTATATCATATGCCCTATATCATTTCGTGGTCTTCCACTGAGATAATTGGACAACGATGAGAGTTTGCTTTTGTTTCATAGATTCTGGCTCTTTTTCATAGCTTCTGGCTTTTTGTCTCATACATTCTGGCTTTTGTTTCATAGATTATGGACTGTGGCTTGTTTACGTATAAATTTTGCATCTTATGTCTTAAATTTTGTATCTTATGTCTTGCAATTGTATATGCCTTGAGTTTTTCTTCTATGCATTGTCTTTTGTTAAAATTACATTTTATTCCTGTTTTGTACATGTTGTATTTGGCCCTAGATGCTGAAGTTGCTGCATTTACTAGCATTTCTTGTTTTGTCAGACAACAGTGTTAGGGAAAAGGCAGTGTTAGAGGACCTTAATGGTAACTACAAGTAAACTTAGAAAATGCTGTAGAATGGGCCTTTTTATGAAATCTAGTTTATATTTAAGAAATATACATGCAAATAAATCACAGGACCCCATCCATCAGTTAAAAGACAATAGGTTGGTGGCTGTTCTTCTGACTTGGAGGACAGGTTGCACTGAAATGTTCCAGTTCAATCCTTACCTATACTCTAGAGAAAATGTTGGGCCTGTTCTGCCTCAGTTTCCTTTCTGGTTTGATCTTCAACTCAGGAGCAAGTTGTCTCAGTAACTCACCATATGAGAGGAAAATATCTCCTTTCCTGGTCTCATTTCTGATCTTTCCCTGTCACTTTACACTTCCCTTACAGAGGCATGTAACGTTCAGAAAAAGGATCTCTAAAATTGCCCCAACCTTTTCCAACTAAGAACCTTTAAGTTGAGACCAAAGAAAATGAGCATTTTGTTAATACCAAAGACAGGGAAGTCATCTGATGAGGAACGCACTGTGGGTTTTTTTTGTTGTTTGTTTGTTTGGTCCGGGGGCAGGGGGGGATCCAACTCGGGACCACTGAGGAACACATTGTTTAGGGAGAACCCCAACCTTCTCTCTCTCTTCCCTTCTAGGTCTGGTTTCCATCATTCATGTGTGTAGGGGAGGAAAACACCTTCACCAGTAAGTTGTGGATTTTAAAACCTTTACTATAAACTTGTAAAATTCTATGTAATGGGGGGGGGGGAGGCAGCTTAAGCTTTTATTTGGACTTTAATTTAGAAACTCCCCCTAAGCTTTTCTCCAATACACTGGGAATTAACTTTGGAACCACCGTGTAGTAAGACTGCCCCTCTCTCCAGGAAGTCAACCTGAGGTAGCTTGCAACAGTCTGCCTTTCATGGAGGAAAACAGCAGTCAGCTAGCAACTCACACTTTTTTTTTTTACTTTAAAGAAAGAATATATTTGAACCACATAAACAAACCAAAAGGTAGTACACAGGAAAAAATAACGTAACAATTTATGTAAGTACCTAACATGAGCATGCTCTTACATCTAAAACAAAAAAGAAAGTGACACTGGTACTATATATATATATATATTTGACAAGTGTGCATTAAAGAAATCTCTAACATAAAACATTTAAAATGTGGAAAATACTTTTTCAAGATACAAGAAATAACTGTTAAGGTAG